CGCCACGTGTCCTTCACGAAGGCCAATAGGAGCCTGCCACGTGTCAATCACAGATACGTCCTCTACGGACCAATCGAGGCATGCCACGTGTCCACCCATGCCAAATGGGAAAACCGGCCAACAAGGCCCAATCCTGTCTAGAGGCCCGGTCAGCCCTAGGTTTACCCTAAACCTATAGAGTGGCACGCTTCTCAAGACTATAAATACTTAATTAATCCTCATTAAAAGGGAGGAAGCGATTGAGAGGCAATTGATCAAGCAATTAATCTCACCTGAAGAACAGAGAAGAACAGAAACATTACGGAACACTAATAACCGGCTAATCTCGCTAACAAAGCAGATTACCAACATTAAACACTCTCACCTAGAGAGGTCTTGTTACTTTAATTTCCGTATTAATTACTCCTTAATCAGGTACTAACTTGACCGTTGGAGGCGGAGCTCTCAGGAGTCTCCGTTATTTTGCAGGTACAGGCGTCCGGTTCCAGTCTCGGAATTGTAACTCTCCCGCAGGACATCAGAAAACCCCGAAACATATATATATATATATATATATATATATATATATATATATATATATATATATATATATATATATATGTTAAAAGACCATCTCAACCAAAAGGTTAAACTAATGGTTGAGGCCTAGGAATATGTTATATACTCTATCACTCTCCCTCACATGAAAGGCCCTTTGGGCTTGAAATGTGGATGCAACATAGGCCCTCTCATACCCGGCGCGAATTAATTCCACTTAAAAGGAGGGGTGAATGAGATTCGAACCCGTGACCTCTATGTCACGTTGGCTCTGATACCATGTTAAAGGATCATCTCAACCAAAAGCTTAAACTAATGGTTGAGGCCCAGGAATATGTTATATTACTTATATACCATGTTAAAGGACTATCTCAACCAAAAACTTAAATTAATGGTTGAGACCCAGGAATATATATATATATAAAGGGGAGTTTTTTCTCGAGTTTTTAGAAAACCACGTAGGACTTAATTTTTCTAACGCGTCACGTAGGATAATAAATTTTAATGATAGCCAATTAAATACGAGGACATTTTTTGTTAAAAAGGAATATATTCTCTCTAAAAACCTACGCTCCTCCTTCTCTCTAAAAACCAAAAAAACCCATTCCCCTGTTCCCCTTGCCGGGAAGTAGTTGTTCTTCGATGCTTTTGTTGTTTGATTTGGGTTTATTTGTGTTTAATCAAGTGGTTTTACATGATGTTTGGGGGGCTAAGGGGGTGTGTTAAGCCTCTCGTTAAGTGGTTTGGTTTTCGGGTTTCAGTAATTTCAGGGATGGTCCTTGTTTGTGGTCTGTTTTGGTTCTTGAAGGTGGTCTTGGCTTGTGTTTTTTATTTTGTTACTCTTTTTGACCTGTCCGGTCGACTGAGTAATGGTGGGTTATCACTTGGTACTCACCGTTTCAGCTTAGCAATAGATTGTCAATCTATTGCTTTGAAAACCTTTATCCCAACCCTGCTCTCCAACATGGGGGCTCCCAAAAATATCTTTTGGGGGTTTTTAGTATGGTAATGATCTCTTCTTTAGAGAATGGATCAAAGGTACCCATAGTTAAGGGTACCGAGCCTCTTGTAAAAGGGACTCAAATTGTGTTGTTAAGCCTTGGTCGTCTTTTATTACTACATGTTTTATCTAATGCTAAAGATTCTTTGTGTCTTTTTGAGCCCGAGTTAATGTATGCCAACAACCGCGTGTTCTCTCCCTTTCCGTACTTTTCCCAATATCAACAGAAATGGAGATCCAAAGCCAACACAGGATTAGTTGGGAATCTTCTACAGCATGTTCGAAGGCAACTTGGGTGCTCAAGCCGGCGTGTTCTTGTGAGAAAGTTGTACTTATGTTTTATTTGTACTCTATGTAATCTTGGAGCTAGTAAAGCTCTTCTAAGTAGCATAGCGAACTTATTCCATCGTTTGTAATCCTTTTCTTTGATCATTAAGCATAAGTCAAAAAAAAAAAAAAAACGAGATTATTAGTTTATTTTAGAATTAAACAATTTAAATGACACGTAAGCAAAATTGACGAATGAGATTTTTCAATTTAAATTAATTGAATATAAAATATTATTATATGATATTAGGAATTTTATCTAAATATATAACAAATTTTAGCGCATATATATATATATATATATATATATATATATATATATATATTATTTAAAAAATTCAAACAAACCGTGCACAGACTTTATCTAGTTATCTTTTATTTGATAGAGACTCAATACTAATTACAAATATTTGTTTCTAGTTTCCACTTACCTCGTTTAATTTGTATATATTAGATTTTTTTTAATTATTTGCTATGTCACCAATAATTTTGCTCTTTTCACATGAAATATTGTGCTTTACTCTGATTTTAACAAATCTAAGATGGACTAATCTAGTATGACTAAAATCTAATTTGACCTTTATTTACACTAATGTATATGAAATAAATACAGTCTAGTGTGACTGTGTTAGCTACTTAGCTTTGTCTTACTGTGTACTATATAAATACATACTCAAGTACTACATTTTCCCGTGAGGAGATCTTCCTAATTTATTTATTTTTTCACATTTAAAAAAAAACGAAAAAAAAAAAAAACTAAAAAAAAAACTCAAGCTCTCCATAATTTTCATAAGTTTGACAAGCCCTCCTCATAATGATGTAGGTAGGAATGGAAACGGATCGGATTCGGGTCGGATGTGGCTAAATCCAAACCGATCTGTTAAATAAACGGACCCTGGACTCGGATCCGAATCCGAAAAATCCGAGTCTGAATCTGATCCGACTCATAATTTTCGAATCCGAATTCGGTCCATTTACACGGACCTCCGAAATGATCCGAATATTTTTTTTTATTTTTTTTTTAATGTCATATACCTATAACTGCTTGTATTGTCATACCAATTAAAGTATAAACATAAAATATTTAAATTATAAACTAAGTTACATAACAAAATTTTGCAACAAAACAAGCAAATAATTGTCCCAGGTTATTGAGCATATGCTTATACTCTCGGATCGGACTCCGTCGGACTTTGCGTAGGGTCCAAGTTTGGTTCACCTCCTATTCGGATTCTTATCTATTTTATCGGATTTGGAATCGGACTAATTTTAAACGGATTCGAATCGGTTTTTTTTTCCTTTGGATCGGATCGGATCGAATTCGAATCGAACTCGGATTAAATTGTCTTCCCTAGATGTAGGGTTGCTACAAAGCTAAAGACAAGGATCACATTACAAGCAATTAATGATATTCAATAATAAGTAAACAAAATATAAAAGTTACAATGTGAACTAATTGAATATCAACCTAATTTGATTTAATCTAATCCTAACAAAAAATAATTATTGTTAGGAAAAATTTTCAATTACTACCGCAAAAAATTTTAAGATGTTGCGATTACTACCAAACCCCTATAAACCCAACTATAACGTCATTATATCACTTTAATCCATGGTTAAAACCCTTAACCATGACGTCATTATATCCCTAAATCATTTTCTTTTTTTTTTGGGGGGGGGGGGGGGAAGTGGTTAAAGCCCTTAACCATGGTCAAACATGGGTTAAAGGGATATAATAACGTCATAGTTGGGTTTAATGGGGGTTTGGTAGTAATCGCAACATCTTAAAATTTTTTGCGGTAGTAATTCACAACTTTTTTAATTTGCGGTAGTAATTTACAAAGTGGTATTAACTTGCGGTAATAATTGACAAAATTATCCTTATTGTTATAATATTCTAAAATAAGTTGAATTGATCTGAATGATATACAAATTACGAAATATGAAATATACTTTAAAAATATACTACGGAGTATCATATACGTACTAATATACCCCACATAAAACAACCTGTTTGATACCCAAATTTAGACTTGGTCACTCTATTCAATTTGCTTTGGGCCTACGTAATCTTGAGTGTGGGGAAGGACCGGAAAGTTACAAGAATCACACCCCTGGAATTCCTCTAGTATTAGTTGATTCTAGTGATATTTGTTCCCTTCATCTTGAGGTCATGAAAGTCTTTTTTTTTTTTTTTTTTTTTTTTTTTTTTGCACGCTAATGTTGTAAAAATTAATCAGATTATTAAATAAAATCAATTTATCATTATAAGACCACCTAAAATGAGATAGGGTTAGAATTACAGTGATCAACACAGATGGTCATATGATAATAGTAAGAAGATGTTACACGAATATTTTTCAAAAGTATAAAAACATGGAGTGAAAAATTTAATTTTAAATATGTTGAAGTATTTCCTACCAAACAACACAGGTAAGTGTCTCATATTGAAATAATAAGAGAGTGTTAAAACACTTTATAAGACTAATAAGTTACTCCTTCTATTGGCATATAATTTTGGGATGAAACCTCCTTTGGTCTTGTAAAGTAGACTCTCTCTTAGTATGCGGGTGCGGCCTAAACTCTTATTTAACAAAATAGCTGGAGCAATTGATTTAATCGAGACATCCACAATACATACTCGGTAGAAAATAAGGCAAGTAAATATATATATATATATATATATATATATATATATATATATATATATATATATATATATATATATATATATATATATATATATATATATACCAAGTATGTCATTGGTTGTTGGTTGAAAGATACACCCTCCGTTTTACAATACTTGCTCCATTTCTTCATGCGCAGAGTTTTAAGAGAAATTGAAGAAATTAATTAAATATGAAGGCGGTGAAGTAGGAGGATGAATAAAAAGTTGTAAAAAGTAAAATTAGTTAAAATTGGAGGAGAGAGAATATAAAATTAGTAATATATAATTAATGTTGGATCCACTCGGTGCGAGAAATGAATTAAATACTACCTCCAGTCCAAATTACTCGCAACTTTGGAAAATTTTATATCTCATAAATAATACCCTAAAATTGCGAGTAATTTGGACCGGAGGTAGTATTTTAAAAAAATTTCAAATAAGAAATAGAACAAGTATTTAATAACGGCTGAAAAAGGAAAGTAGAGTAAGTATTTAAAAACAGAGGGTGTAACACCAAACATGGTAACCATGGCCTTATAATTTTGAGAAAGTGCGTCCTTGAATTAGGGCCTAGCCCTTATAAGTGTCCCGATTTATTCTGTAATTTATTCAACATCTAGCCCATGTCCAGCCCTCTACGCACCAGTGTTTAATTTTTCTCTATTGAGTAATTGATACAATACAATACAATACAAGTACTATATTTTTCACTCTTTAAAACTCCAAACTAACCTGGTTGGAATACAAAGCATATTAAACTATCACCATATACTATTATAAGTTAAGTACTACGTATGTCGAACGCTATGCATCAGAAACCAAAGAACAATATTTTAGCAATACTGCAGTGAAAACTATAAGTGGCCGAAGCATTGTTCAGAGCTGCGATTTTACTCAATAATATAAGTGACCAAAGGAATGTTCACCGTGAACCTGAGAACGTAACAAGAGGCTGAAGCAAGTATGCAGAATCAGGATTATCCCATTCAAGTTTCTCCCACCACTCTTTTTCAACCATAATCATTTTAAGTGATAAGGGAGCAGCAGCTGGCTGTCCATCGTCGAGGAGTGGGAAAGAGAGAGGGAGTTTCTTGACCAAAGGACACATTATAATTGTTATATTCTCGATGTGATCATAGCTTAAAAGCCCCTTTAAACATATAGTAACCAGATTGGGGAGATAAATTAGCTGTAAGATCCTCAACTTCGGGAGATAAATCATTTTAGTATTATCATTGTTATCAGCAGTTTCTGCATCTTCAAGATTGTCAGATAGTGAAACGAGCTCCCTCAAAACCGAACATACTTGTACTTCAAGAACCTCCAAGTTTTGCAGTTGGTTAAGAACACTCTGTGTGAAGAGAGCCTCAATATTCCAGCAGTACTCTATTGTTAATTTCTTAAGATTGCGGAGGGCACCACTCAAAAGCTTTCCATCTACTGTTATCCCTCTGAAATTTACCAATTCTGTAAGGTTCAGCTCCTCGAGGCTTTCGAGTTCAAGATCAGAGCATGATGCAGATGACCATACATGCTCCAGGCTGTCACAGTAACCAATCCAGATCCTTGATAATCTTGACAGACCATGCATTGATGGTATAACATCCAGAAGGTTGCTCGAATCAACACAGATTAGTTGCAGAAACTGAATATTGTCTGGGAGGGCTATGGGTTTGATTTGACCTTCTTGGTCCTTGCCGTATTCATAAACAACAACATTTTTATCAAACACATTGTCAATGAAGCTATAATAGTGAGTTGATCCTATCATTGCTATGTAAATTTGATAATATTTTAGTTGATGGAAATGTTGAGACTTGAAATAGCTATTAAAATTGCTGACATCTGACATCCAGCAACCTTTAAGTCTCCTCAAATGTTGCAGCTTCATCAAATCCGTCCCCAAAACGCTCTTGATTCCATACCCAATTTCCAAGTGTTCGATGTAGGAAAGCCCAGTTAGTAATCTGTGGAATGGCACACAAAGTTTGTCACAGCTTTGCAAACCAAGGAATCTCAAGTTGGGTAACACTTCAATCCCTTTAGGTACGTCCACTAATGACCCATTACAATTCAGATTCAGCACCCTTAACTTTACGAGCTTTGATAAAGGGGGCACATAATTTAAACTCATACAGCCGGCCACTTCCAAAGCTGAGAGATTCTTCAACTCGGAAATACTATCTGGCAACTTCTTAATTGGTGCTTGAGTTAAACTGAGAAATCGAAGGCCCATCATGTGCAAAAAGAATGAATCAGGGATAGTTTTCAAGGGGTTATCAGTAAGCAACAGGGTTGAAAGATAAGGGCACGCCGGAGAAATATTGGATGGAATATCAGCAATGTGATTGCTTATTAACGAAACCTTCACCAGGTCTTCCGTCCACTCTATTGCATTCGGTACTCTAGTAAGTTGTAATCCAGATCTTATCAGGAAACGACTAGTATTATTTCCAATTTTGATGGCCATATCTCTGATCAAGTCATGCATCTTCACATAATTTCCTTGAGAATCCAATGATTCCAACAAGCTTGCATTGATTAGTCTATTAAGGATGGTGTGCCCTTTATCTAATTGTTTCTCCCTTGACTCTATATTCTCTAACAAACTGTCTGAAACCCAGAAATTTATTATCTCATATCTGCTTAATTTGGAGTCCTCAGGAAAAAATGCACAACCAAGAAAGCACTTTTGCAGCTTTACATCATTCAGACGATTATAACTTAGCTCTAAGAGTGGGAAAACATCAGTCTCCATGTCACCATGATGCCTCGTAGGATCATTTAGTTCCTCCAAAGTATCCTTCCACTCATGAATATCAGTTACCCCTCTCATACTTCCAGCTATAGTTAGAATTCCAAGTGGTAAGCCGGCACATTTTTTGGCAACCAACTTTGCCACATCTCTAACTTCCAGTGAAAGATCATCAAAATTGTTGAGCTTTTCCAAGAATAACTCCCAGCTTTCCTTTTTGGAAAGAGTTTCAATTTTGACTCGTCGTTGACACAACATTCTTCTACAAACATCTAAAGAGCGACTAGTAATTATCAACTTACATTCATCTTTTCCCACAGGAACTCCAACCTTCTCTACCTCAAAGTGCTTCCACATGTCGTCAAGAAACAACACAACCTTCTTCCTTTTCTTCAAAGCATTAGACAACACCGCTGCCCTCTTAATCTGATCAGTTTCTCCTTCTAAAAGATGATCCACCTTTGCAGCTTTAGCAATTTTTCTCTGCAATGTGACTATTGTATTTTCTTGTGACACGGTCACCCAATAAACATGCACTGATGAAGTTTTGACATCTTCATGGAGCTTGTTATGGATGTGCATTGCTAATGTTGTTTTCCCAATGCCTCCTAAACCGTACACCCCGATTCTGCACACATCTTCATCTACTAACCATGACAAAATCATTCTCAAATTTTCTTCAAACAATCTACCTTTAAGTTTCGATGTGACCAATGGCACACTCGATGATGCATGATCATCTAATGTTAGTCCACCGGGAAAATTCCCCTGCTCCATCAGGTCATCCATCTCTTGAGTTAGGCTAACAATATCTCTCTTCAGCATCTTATGTGAAGAAAATTGGCCCCTTTTAACATCTTTCTCAACATATCCCACCTCAGCCTCTAATTCTTCAACGTTTTTTAACCAATTTTCAACTTGACGCTTCCTTTTCCTGCCAGGCTGCATTTCTTCAGCCTCTAGCTGAGTGTTAACATCAGCTGCTCGAGCACATAGTGCTTCATTTTTACTTCTCATAAGCTGCAACTCTTCATCCACATCAGTACTACCAATCATCCAATTCTTTAGAATCAATGCCATGACAACAACCTAATACTGATAGAATGCAGAAAATGAGACACCAGTAAATTCTGAATCATATTCCAAAACTTATAATAGTTCGTTCAGTTGGTGTAAACATAAATTGTGGTTATGAAACTATATTTATATAATTTTACGTAAGTTAATTAGACGTCAATGTCCAAATATTAGCAATTCCATCCCTGAACTCGGTTTCTCTTGCAAAATCTTCATTATTACCCAAAGAAATACACAGAAATGGACAAAAAAAATTCTACCTCCGATTTTTTAGTTGCAACTTTGGGGTATCATTTGTGAGATATAAAATATTCCAAAGTTGCAACTACAAAAATCGGAGGTAGTATATAATTTTGACCACGGGCAAAAAAGGAGACTAGCTCCCAACTGACTCGAGAGTCGAGACTACTTAAACAAGGAGAGAGTCTAGCATTACCATGAATATGAGAATTTTCTCACAAAATTACATGTAAATTAATTCCCATTATCAACATTAATGCCTACCAAATGGGTCATAACAAAAACAAGAGTTGTGACTTTTAATACATTAATCTACAGAATTTAGGAACAATACCCAACAATCAATTATGTAAAAAAGCACCAAACGTAGCCATTTCCCGATCTGTCTTGTGAAAATCATAAGTTTTGCAGATTATCAAACGTTTGATACAGTAACTGTATAACAGAAGAATTCTCTTTTTTCCCCTGTTTCTAAAAGATTCCTAACAAAGTCCAACTCTATCAGATCAAAATATGTAATGTACTAAATAAAAAACAAGCAGATGTGTTGAATTTTAACATCATAATCTATTCTTTAACTATAAGTTTATAAAATCACTAAGAACAAACAAACAAACAAAATTAAGACAACATAGGTTAAAATTGAGTGAATTGATGTACCTTTTGGACACAAAGATTTGGGTTTGCTGCAGATTTCAATTACGAATTGGTCAGAGTCCAACGGAGATTAAAGCTTCAACTTGCTGGCTGCTGCCGATTCTTTTATGATCAACATGCTGTTAGTATTGCTTCAAATGGGTGACATCAACCTATGCTTAAAAAACTTCCAAGTAGGGGTTAAACATCCCTTAATCTATTACTTGTATTAGTACTCCTTACGTCATTTAATTAAATAAACTGGTATTTAGCCCGGACAATCTCCATGTTTTTACGTTAAATATTCTTGGAAAATTCTACATAATACCCTTGAGGTATTGATTATTTCACGTTGTGCCCCTCCTTTTGAAAAGTTCCACGTTGTAACCTCAAGGTTACAAAAGTGATTAAGCTATACCCATGTAGTTATCCCTCCATTACATGTTGCCGTTAGTGGGGCCCACTTTACACCTATTTATTTTTTTCTCAAGTTATTTTTAAACTTTTAAAAGGTAGGGATATAGTCCTACAATATGAGACACGAGTAATGTTTATAATTATCATTGAATGCATGGGGTACTTCTAAGAAAAAAAATTGATGTTACTTTTTAATAATTTGGGGTTATTATATTAACAAATTAATGCTACCGATATAAATAATTAAGGTGACTCATTAATGAATAATTGAATAGTAATTACTCTTATAAACAAATTTTGAAGGAGAATTGATATAGCACTTTTTTTTAATTAATAAAAAAGGTTTCTTGATCCCTTGACAGGGACATGCCGTTGGGCACATATACTCTTAACCTTGACGAAGGTATGTATGTGTGGCATATCTTGTTGGGTTCCCCCTCTTACCTCTCCCACGCAATTCACCTGGTGAAGTTGCAACATTTTTCATTTGATTTATCGCCGTGATAATAGAGGAGATATCATTCATCTTATAAATAATATTATAGACACAATACATGATATCATTTAACTTATGGAGGATATCATCCGACTTATAAATAATGTAATCTATATAACATAATTTATTTTATAAACATAATTAAAAGGTCAACAATAGCGGAACCACCATTGATGGTCACGTACTAAGCTCATGGTTATAACATAACATGCTCATTATATTTTTCAACCAAAATACATGCATTTGTTATTAAAACACTTATAATTCAACATACAATCACATAGAACAATAAATTTCAACAATAATACATCACATATGAAAGACCCAAATCGATATTTTTGGACATTTTTCAAAAACTCCGAGAATCTCATAATTATTAAGTCAATTCAAGCATAAATCAAGGATAAATATAATCAACAATCTTTATTTTCTCTCTCCTCTCCATCCTCTTCAATTCAAGCATAAATCATGAACAAATAAAATAGAGAAATTTAGTAAAAAGTTGAGGAGAGAGAAAATAAGGGTGAGTTAAAGGTGAAGAATGAAAAATAAAGTGAAATAGGATTGAGTGAGAGTATTGTTGGTGATGGTCAGTGGAAATGAGAGTGTAAGAAGTTTGTATTGCCGTACAAATAATAGTTGGACTGACGAAATGTTTGGTTAGACTTGACTGACCTAATAGTTTGGGTGACATAAGAGAAATTAAAGAGAGGATTAGAATATAAATTATGTGAATTCTATTTGCTATTAAAAATTGAACAAAAAAGAAAAAAAAAAAAGAAATTAGGTGAGCTAATGAGATTGAGTGGTACATAAAGTGGACAAATAGTGGAATAGATGATTTAGACCCGAAGTTTAATCCTTATGATCTTGAGATAATGAGATGTGAAGATGTCTTTCACCATTCCACCTTTGTGATTTGAGAGGGAGTTATGCTTTATGCTAGTTACAATTACTTTCTGTTCGTAGAACCCCTTTGGTTTTATATTGTTCTATATTCTATTATTGACCAGTAAGGCAGTAACTACCAAGTGCAAGTACTAAAGTTGATATCTTATATCTGTAATATTATTCTCTTTGCTCCACGTTAATATACAAAACACAGTACTCCATATATACACCTGAGTCCTGACTCCTGAGTATTTGTTTTGCAATGATGTTATCAATTCCTTTTCAATTAATAAAATACCTTTTATTTTTATTTATTTATTTTTTATTTTTTTGTGTTAAAGAGAGCCACAAGGGGCAGTGTGAGAATCGATCCCAAGATTTTATAAAATCGGGAAAGACATTTGCTATTCTACTAATTTACACTGCTATTGATTGCAAATGCAAGCGCCCAACTTATGGTGTGTTTTATTCACCAAATTTTCACTTATCTGAACTTACCTAAACTCATTAGATATTATTAAAACTTATTTTAGTTGTAATTTGTACTTGGATAATCCTTATTAGAACTTATTAAACCTAAACTGAACTTATCTGAACTAGTATAAATAAGGTGAACAAAATAGACCCTTAATTATAATTAAGTATAACCTGAGACAATGTCCGATCCATATTCTAGTTATTCACTCAAATTCTCTTCCCTTGAGGCTTTGAGGTCCAACATTTTGCTCACCTTGACAAACATGGGCTAAAAGGCCCAAAACCTATCACATTGTTTAGTTGTTCACCCCTACTTCTAGGCCTTTCATAAATCCACAAAAATTATAAGGAATTAAGTGACAAAAATCTTCATTGCAAATTCACAGATAAATTTCCATTCAAATTAGAAGCATACAAATTCTTGGCTGCATTCTAATGCATCCAAGATAGCTGCATCAAGGCAAAACGCAGCCTCCACTGAATGAAACACAAACTTAATTCATCTTCTTCTTCAAGTTTCATTTTTTATGAATCTCTTTCTTCACTTTCATAATAATAATTTTGATCTCAATTTTCTCTCTCCTCTCTCCCATCTTCCATTCGAAATTCTCTCTCTCCTCTTTCTTCTCTTTCATTTGACATTTTCTCTCTCCTCTGCTATATGCAACACTATGGATTTGGTTGTTAATCTTAATGAGATCATCAATGAAGGTTCGTTTTTGTGTTGTTTACAATTAGTTTAATTAAGTTAGACTTTGGATGAGTTTGTAATTGTTTTTGAATTTATAATTTGATGAGTTTCAATATACTCTTGATAAATTGGTTTTTGATTTTATGATTTAATTTTAATTCTTGGTATTCTGATTTTGATGTGAATAGTAATTGAATTGCTTATTTTTTTTTGAAAATAATTAAATTCTTGGTATTCTTTCTCTCTCTTTTATTGGTGGTTTTTAGATTCTCAATCATGTTATGAATCAATAACTATTCTTTCTATGGAAAATAAATAATTATTATTGTTTTTGAAGAAAAAATCAATAATTATTTTCTCTATGATGAATCAAGATTAATTTGATTATATTCAACTTTTTTGGAGTTAAAATAATTACGATCGAACTTGAGTATAATTTCTGTAAAACAAAAATGAACTCGTAGTAATTTAAAAATGAACATCTAGTAGAAAATGAACTTTTAGTACATTGAAAATGAACATTTAGTACATAAAAATTGAACATATTTCAACAATTTATTATATCTTTATTTTTTTCGTTGATAATTATATACAATGAATTTGAACCTATATGAAAATCATGTTCATTTTTAATATCCTAAATGTTCATAACTTTTTTTTACATGTTCATTTTTGTACATTTTTATTTTTTAATACTAATTGTTCATTTTTTAAAGTGTATATATTTTTATGAAATGTTCATTTCATTAGGTTGAAAGTTGAATTATTTGAACATTTAGTGTTGAAATTATGAACAATTTCCATATTTATTATGAACATATATGTTTCGTTATTTTTTATTACGAACATATCTGTTACTGATTATGAACGCAAATGACATATAGAGTGATAATTTATATTTTTAACTATTATATTAATGATTATACATTATAAACTTCTAAATAATCATTTTGAACATATAATGTGATGATTATGAACATATGTTGTGATGATTATGATTGAAAATTCTGATTATTTGTTGTTATTTGTTATATTTTAGTGAGTACAGATCCATTGTATTCGTGGAAGGCAAAGAATCTGAATTAGTGAATAAACAAGTAAGAAGTGATGAAGAAGCATATGAATTATTATGAACATATATTGTGATGATTATGAAAATTCTAATTATTTGGTATATTTTAGTCAGTACAGATTAATTGTATTTGTAGAAGACAAAGACTTTGAATTAGTGAAAAAACAAGTAAGAAGTGATGAAGAAGTGTATGATATGTACAATGAATTTTCCTTAATTTGGAGAATTTCCGATGTATATAATCCCAATTTTATGCTTGTATGATAAAGGTTCATTTTTAATATACTAAATGTTCATTTTTTTTGACATGTTCACTTTTTATTACTGAATGTTCATTTTTTTACGTGTCCATTTTTATTACTGAATATTCTTTTTTTTATATATGTGTTCATTTTTCTAACTAAATGTTCATTTTTAAGGTCGTGGTCTAGCAAATTTATGATTATATAATAATCAGATTCATTTTTAATAAATGCTCATTTCCTTATAATATGTTCACTTTTTAATATTAAATGTTCATTCTTTTTAATGTGTTCATTTTTTGTTATTAAATGTTCTTTTTTTCATGTTCATATTTTTTAACTAAATATTCATTTTTTATTTGGACCGTGCGTTTTGGGCCTCACTTATTGTAGCTATCTTGGCTGGCCTCCAGTGCAGCCAAGACCAATTGCCAGAAGCACGCAATAGATAGATCGTCAATAAATTTACAAAATCCTTTCAATCATTCAAGCCAGCCAATTACATGCATTATTCAGAAAATGGGAAATTGAAAAAAAAAATAATAAGAAAAAGAAAAAAAGATCAGCTTGATGATTACAATTGGGAAGTTAAACAACCAAAACTTGATTTAACAAGATTAATTTTTAGATCATTATAACTTAAAATACGGCAGTCATAGATGCTTCTCCAGTTACGTGACCTTCAGTTACATCCAACAATTTCTCCTTCGTCACCTGCAACTCAATCATCAAACGTTACATTATACAACCATGTAACTATACTCGAGAGATCACGATGAACAAATCACGTCTACACCATCATCCTCTTTTTTATACCATAAATTAATTAATCGGTGTTATTAATTGTAATTTACATCCATTCTTTCAGATTAAGTACATAAAATCAATCTTAGCTTTAACCATCGGTTTAAACTTTTAATTTAGCTAATGAAAAAATAAAATAAAAGTAACATACCGTCTTGCCGAGGCGAAGCTCATCATCAAGTGCATACAACTTAAACTCAATCCTATGCCCATGACTAGGCATAGTAGGGACTCGCCAACCAGGTACCTTTTCATCATTATTCCCTTCAGCAACATTCACATAATCACCGCCTAATTCCTCTTGCTTGCCCGAGAATCCCTCGGGCAAGCCTTTTAAGGTAGGAGGGATATGTGCCACGACCCAAATAGTCCACGGAACGAGTGGACTATCTGGGTCTGGGGCATCAATATCCTCTACAACCAAGGCCAAATGTTTCGTCCCCTCCGGAACATTATACCACTCGATCGGAGGGGATATACCGGACTTAGCACCTTGACCTTCGTCGGTGTATTTACGTGGTAGCCGCCCGTCTTCCTTGTTCACCGGCGGGCAGACTATCCGGAAATCATCGGAGTCGTGTGTTACACCTGCCATTTTTCCTAGTACAATGTTGTTGATTTATTTTTTTAGGCTTGGAAAATATAAAGAGGATGTGTTGATAACATGTAACACTTGTAAGATGTAACAAAAATTTAGGTTGGATAATGTCGTAGGTGTTTGGATATGTTTTTATAGAGTGAAAGGATATGACACGTGCTGGAAGAGTTTCTAGCTGGTGGGAGAAGATTTAGGTGAATTAGACACGTGTTTGGGTGTTTGTGATGTGTATTTTATTTATTTTTTATTTTTTTCTATCAAGAAATTAGTAAAAGTAAATGGGATATTTGTGATGTGTTTGGCTACGAACATTTCCGTCTTCGAACTTTCTACTAGCATCGCAAATCACCGACTAATCGACTCGTGAATTAAATTTAAATAAGTACTCCGAAGCACTTCTTTTTCAGTTCCACAATTGAAACATTCATCATATATTCATATGTATTGAGAGACAAATTAAATGGCAGATGTAATAGCAAATGGGGATTATTTGGTTAGCAATAACTTGAAGTGTAAAGCTTACGACCGTCCTAAGAGCGTTGAATAAACTAATTAAAAGCAAAAAGATTAAATTAAATATTAATTACACCAATCGACGCGTGACTTTGTCATGCTTTTCCAAATTGGTACAATTTTAGGCAAAATATTAAATACTTATCCGACGCCCAGGGGACGTTCGTTAGCAAGATCCTAACTTGAATATTCCATAATATTCCTTGTAATAACTTTAGTTTGATTCCCGTTCTTTCTTTTGATGCATAGAATTAGAAATTCCTCTTGTGAGAATAGTTTCCTATTTTTTTTTTCTTATTTTTACAAAATCTTTGGTGTAATACCAAGTACTTGTGTTAATACACTAGATTAGATATATTAATTCACAAATTATTGGGTGAGTCCATTTTATTAATCTACCTTGTAATAACCTTCGTTTTTTATTAGTTGACACGTTTTGACTTAGCACTATTTACACATCTCCCTTTGACCATATTTTGTAATTTATATGTTAAGAAAAATACAGTCAAGTCGGATCTTGTTAGATTCGCCACAATGTCTATTTTTAAAATATTAACTTTTTATATATTTTTTTTATTATTGTCAATTAAGGATATTAATGATTTAATTTGTGCATTGACAAAAGTGACTAAAGAAACGTGTCAATTAAAAAGAAACGAATGAATTACGTCTTAATAATTTAAATAAATTTTTAAAATTTAATAAAAATTGTACAAAAACTTATACTTGTATTTAAATTTAACGGTCATATCGATCTCAAGATCCTCTTGAACCAAAAGAAAAGGTTTAAATAACTGAGCAATCCGTCATTCCCACTTTCACAAATTGATTATATTAGAAGTTTGATATGGAGTACTATATTATGAAAAAATGGTAAAATTAATAAGAGCAACTACAATGGTTAGCTAATTCATTTAATAGATTGTCACCTTCACATGCCGCGTTATCTTTTTAAGTTACAACAATTCTATCTATTTGTTGCTCCAATGGTTAAGCTAGTTATAAATTAATTTTTTTTAAATAATAATAAATTTTATCTAATAAATAATACTTATCAAGCTAATTAGCTCTACAAAGCTAATTTGCTTGCTAAAGCTCATCAACAATATGTGCACAATGGTATAGCTACTAGCTTAAGATTTTAATATTTGCAAGGTAGTCCTTATTTCCAACCATTAGAGTTGCCCTAATGATGATATGGAAAGCCGGTCATAAGACATGGATTTAGGAGTATATCATGTTGCATCTATATATCAATATAAAAGAGTTTTGCATGAAGGATCATGTTAAAATATAAAACTAATTTAAACTTCATCTAGTAGCTTAAATTTTGTTGTTGAATTAGTATTAAGATACTTTTTTACATCCTCTTCTTAGCCCTCACTAGAGGTGGCAATTCAGGTCAACGAGTCAGGTTCGGGTTAGATTTCGGGTTATGCTTAGAAACTATCAAAAATAGTCTAGAACTTTACATTATTAAAAGTATGAAATTTTGGTCAAATCGGGTCGAATCCAGGTTATTTGGGTTCGGGTTTCTCTTAATAACTTTGGATTAGGTTATCGGATCAGGGATTGACAGCCCTACTTTCTCACACTTAAATTTACATCAAACCTTTTATTGATGGAATGAAGATAAGCAAAAGAATGATTATTAGCAACAAACATATGTTTTTTTATTATTTTTTTTTTATTTTTTTACGGGTAGCAACAAACATATGTTATCACTTTTTGAAACGATTTTTATTCAGAAATTAAGTCGATTGGAACTAACAAATCTAAAGTTAGAGTAACAAAGTTCTTTCAAATCAAGTAGAAAATAATTGGTGATTTGCTTTGTTTAAATTCATATTTTTAATGATACAGTAGTAGATCGAAACCAAACAAATACATGGTACATTTTGAAATTGAAAACCTTTTAGGGCCTGTTCTCATTGACCGAAGTCAGCTGAACTGAATTGAACTGAATTAAGCTGAACTGAGCTGAGCTGAAGTGAACTGAAATGAATATTTTATAAGAGAAGGAAATTAGAAGTTGAAGTGAACTGAGCTGAGCTGAACTGAACTGAATTAAATTTCAACGTAAGAAAACAAACCCTTATTTGTTGAAAAAGTAATGAAATTTATTAATGTGGAGTTACGACAAGGAAAAAGTAACAAAGCCAATCAAATTTGGCATCCTCAAATACAGATACGATTTTGTTTGAGCATTCTAGAAGTTCATTTGAAATTTTGTTTTGATTGAATTTTTACTTTTGGATAAATTGTTGAAATCTATAGTGTATAGTCCTTTTCTTTTTCCAAATGACCACTAATATTATATTTTTTATTATGGCTGTTTATGATGACAATTTTTCTCACCATGACAACGGTGAAGATGACAGCGACTATTGTCATTTGATCTTTATTGTATGCTTGTGAAAAATGTGAAGTTCATCTTTACCCTTATTACTCTGTCTTTCTTTTTCATCTTCTTTTTGGAAATTAAATACAATTGTCCTGTTAATAAACTTCATCCAAATTACAATTATATATTCTCTCACCTATTTGAATTTAATTTAACTAATAATTTGAATTATTTTTTATGATATGTCAATAAAGCCGATTTTACCTCCAAAAACAAAAGGCTTGGGAGTGTTTGGCAATTGGTTTTTTTTGCCTAGCTTTTGGCTTTTGGCTTTTGTCTTTTTAGTTTGGTCAAACAGCCAAAATACAAGTATATGTTTGGTAGTTACTTTTTTTGTTGGCTTTTATGGTATCTTTTCCGCCAAAATCTAATAGGAGTAGCTTTTTCTATTGACTTTTGGATTATTGACCCACTTTAATAAACCACTAAGAACCATAAATAAATTTACCACGCACTTTTGTAAATAAGTGGCCTAAACAACTAACTTAAAAAGTCAATCCACATAACTAATACTTTCAGCTAGTCAAACAAGCCAAGCAAACAAGCCAACAACCAACCGTCAATCGCCAAACAACCCCCTAGTCTTACTAGCTAGCTTTTTAGTTTTGGCTTTTGGCTTTTGGCTTTTCATTAAAGAAACTACTTCTTTATCCTGAAATCATTTTTTTTAGAACCTTTATCCTTAATCGATTAATTATTATTAGTAATTATTGATTACCTACTCAATAATAATTTTTAATTAGTACTTAATAATTAACAGTTATCAATTAACAATTAATAATTAATAATGAGTACTTAATAACTAGTATATTGTAATTTAGTAATTATGGAGTAGTAATTAATAATTAACGGTTTGTAATTTGATTTGTTAAATACCGCTCTCAAATGTCTAATTAACGCCCGCAAAATAAATATGTATTACGAATTTACCCTCATTAGATGTAAACAAAGAATTTACCTTTACAATCATAATTTTAACCCACAACCACTACCATTATTTACCACTTATCAATTTACAATTAGAATTTACCTTTACACTGTTTCTTTAAAAATTCTCTCTCTAAACCACCACCACCACCATTTACCACCCACACAACCTCCTTATACTAGCTCAATATAATTTTGCCGGAGACATGGTTGGTTTTTTTTTTCCCTGGAAATGGCAGAAATGCCCAATTATTTTGCCAGAAACGCCTAGATCTTTCGAAATATCGGGTGGTTAATCGAAATTTCTGGGCGGTTGGGTTGAAACGCGAAGAAATTTCGATCTTCCATGCGATTATTCAAAAGATCTAGGCATTTCAACCTAGATCTGGCCAATGAATTAGGCATTTCTGCCCTTTTTTCCAAAAAAAAAAAAAAAAAAAAAAACATATCACTGCTAGTTGCTATCTGCGTGCTATTACTACTAGATGTTGTTATTAATGCTGTTGTCTATTTGCTAACTACACAGACTCATTTTGCCTTTTCTGTTTTAGAATTTGGCGGTCTGATCTATAAACTAAAGTTGACTTTCTTTTGTTTAATTATTAGATCAAACAAACAAATTGGTGTTTATGGATGTTTTTAGTAAGAACTAGGAAGTTATATCAATTGAAATTATTGTTTATCGTATATGTTAATTATTTCTCATTCGTGGTTGTTGTACATGTTAATATTATTTCTATATTAAAAAAATTAAAAAGTTGAATATTTTAAATAATAGTAATAGTAATAGTACTAATAATAGTAATAATAATAATAATAATAATAATAATAATTATTATTATTATTATAATAATAATAATAATTATTATTATTATTATTATTGTTACTTATTGGTTAATTAGGTGTTACATTAGTCTGTAAAAAGTGATACATAATGTCGAATAAAGTGTTACTGATGATTGAAAAATGTTACCTAATAATCAATAAGGTGATACATAAGTTCACAAAAGTAATACACAATATAAGAGAAAGTGCTACTATATGATTGAAAAATGTTACTAAAGATAAGAAAGTGTTACATAAGAAATAAAAAGTAACACTTTAAAAATGATACTGATAATATAAAAAAAGTGTTACGTAAAAGGGTTTATAGTAACACTTTAAAAAGTGTTGTTACCCTACGTTAACCAAAGTGTTACATAAGACCTCAGGGAACATGGCCGGATGTATCACCGACTAAAGTGTTACCTATTTTCTATAATAACATTTTTACCACTTTATATAACACTATTTAGGTGTTACTTAAGGTTAATTATGTACTAGTGAAATCACGAGAAAGCCGCAAAAACGGCGCCCCTATCAGGACATGTGTCAAAACCTGATTGCGCCGCCAATCAGAGCATGTCATTCTAGGGTAATAACTAGGGCGAGCAAATTAAAACTACCTGAAAAATCGAAAACCCATTCCGTTATCGTCCTGAAAATTAGGGTACCCGATCCGATAACCATAACGGTTCGGGTACCCGTTCTGATAATTTGTTATCGGGTATGGTTTTTGGGTATCATTTTAAAATTAACGGTTACCCGTTCCGATCCGCTAAGCGATTTTTGTATTTTTTTTTCATACTTAAATCTATTTTTCCAATATTTAAATTCTAACTTTACTTCATAATCACTATATAATATCAATGATTAGTAATATTATTAATAATTTGGTAAATATCATGTAATATTGTTGTTAATTAGTGTGAAAAAATCATAAAAACTAATTTATTAAGTTTAATTATCACTATTCGATACCTTATTGGGTAACCGATAATCAATCCGAAAATCCGGGTACTCGAAGTCCGGGTACCCGAACTTATCGGTTCGGTTTATGAATATCACTTTTAGTGATATTGGTTATCGAGTACCCGAATCGTTAGTACTAACAGTGTGAGTACTCGTCCCATACTCAACCCTAGTAATAACCCTAAAGGGGGCACAATTCCCCACCTATAAATACCCCAATGATTTATGACGGGAAGGGTGGATTGTGACATAATATTCAACAGAGCATTAAAACAACTCAAACTTCTCTCTACTTTCTCTCTATAGCCTTTTCGTTTTCCGATTACTAACTTGATCGTCGGAGACGAATATTCTAGTAACGAGATATTCGTTAATTTACAGGTGTCCGGGCCGTCTATCCAAATAGCGCGACCAATGTCCAGGGGAAATCACAAAAAATACCCAAAACACTTTGTGCCAGTCAAACTGTGAAAGTGTAACACTTATTTAAAAACGAATAGAGTATAACAAATGGCTAAACAACCACTGTAAACAACCAATACTAATAGTCAGTCAAACAAGCCAAGCTAAACAACTAGTAGCCAATAACCAATTGGCAAACAAGATCTTTATTAGAATTCAATAAGTTGATCTTGAAAAACCGTTCAACCCAACTTTTCGTAAAAGTTATTCGTGTAATTACTGCAAACAATCATTTCAATAAATTATCTTGAAGTCTGATAAAATACAGAGTAGATAATTTAAAGAGATAATCAAACAATTTATATCAACCGATTACTATCTATCTATCAGTTAATTACCAAACAAGACCTAAGCTCAGTTTCCAAGAACCAAGAGTCACAACTCACTCAACACAAGAGCTAGTTCTAGAACCCACAAAACGTAACATAGGCAAAACATTTCCCACCTCCTATTAAACGTCAATTAACCCTGAAACTCTACTCCTCACCATCCCCATAAACCCGTAATTGCACGATAGCCTGACGTAAACAACCGACCCACCTCCCTTCAAAATTGAACCCGAACACTCAAATCAAAATCAAAATCAAAATCACACCCAATCACAAAATCAAATAAACCCCACAAATATTTTCCTCCATAATCTGAATTTCCTCCAATTCCCAAATCTAGAGAGAGAAAATCAAAGATGAACCCAACTGAAGAAGCCATGGATAAAGAGAGAGAGTGGGAGATGAGGCCTGGTGGTATGTTGGTTCAGAAGAGAGAGAATGGTTTTGATGATGATGCTGATGATAATAATAATCTTCCTTTTTACAAGATCAAGGTTGTTTATGGCTCTTCTTCCTACGAATTCGCCCTTCCTTGCAAATTCACTTTTGGTATTTTCTTCTTCAATTTTCTTTATTAATATTTTCTGGGGATTTTCTGTAGTATAATGATACAGTAGTTGATTTGTTTGATTGTGGGGTTTTTGTTATTTTTGGTGTAAATAGAGCCACACAAATGGTGGTTACGTAGACGGGATTCGATTTCAGGTCTCGGGTTATACCCGTAAGCTAGTTGGCATCCTTAGAGTTTATGTTTAGTACAAGTATTATGTTTGTGTATAGTTGGGTTTTGTTTGATGTTTAGGGTTGATTTTATTGAGAAATTTTGTTATGTGAGCACAAAAATTTTGAACTTAAGTTATGAGCTTGTTTCTTTGTTTTAAAGTGGCTGAAATGTGAAGAATTAAGGGTTAGAGAGAGGGGATTACTGCTCTGATGTAATGGGTGTTTATGTAGTGATGTTATATCAGAGAATTGTTGGGTTTTATTCAATGTTTATGATTGATTTTCGTTGGAAGCTTTGGTGAAATTATGAATTGGGAAAAACTTGGGGTTTTGTCGAGGTTTCCCCACTTTTCAATGATGAGTATTGATTAGTTTTCCTAATCGAAATCCAGGCTGAATTTTGGATAAAAGGAAAGGTCCATCTTTTAACTCTTTTGCTTCTAAAAGCAGAATTGAAGTGGTTTGATGTGAGTGTAATACTTCCCCATATGGGAATTGTAGTCATATATAAATTAGTTTAGAATGTTTGTAAGAAAGTCCCGTGTTTTTGTGGTTGAATTCACTTTGGTTTTCTTAGTTAAAAATTGTTATTAAGATTATGTTTCTAAACATATCCTTAGTTAAATAAAATGTTGGTGAGAGGTGGGTTGGAGATATTTTTGTCAAATCTAAGTGAATCCTTAAATATTGGTGGTTGAATCAATGTGACGAATAATTCCGGTTGGAGAGAGTACATACAACTATACAAAAGAGTTTATAATTACCTATTTGAGTGGCCAGAGATGAGGTACTTGGCTGTGTCCATCCTGACCTTTCTAGGCATACTAAATGCTTACAATAGTAGTTTGCTATGTGATAGATGGACATGTCGCGTAATTAACCCTTCGTTTCATAAAGAATCATGCTACTATTCATATTTTGAGGGAGTCTACTGAATTATTCCCAATATATAAGAAAAATTAAACTTATGTGGGAGGTCTTGTTTGATTTGTCTCAATGGTTGCGTTAAGAATATCAATTTTTTTTTTTAATTTCTATTAAAACTTTTACTTTCTTCCCAATATGTAGAGTATTTAATTGTCAAAGATGTATACTGTCAAAACAAGAGTAGTTTTTAAAGATGGAAGGAGTGATAAATATTCACCTCACCTCCTATTTACATCATCTAAAAAACTCCTCCCTTGTATGCCTTCCCTCTTAGATTCTGAAACATCATGGTAGAAGTCGACCTTAGGTAGTGCTTGTGTCCAAATGGGTTTTGAGACAGAGATGTTTAATTTCTAATTTTTTTTATATTAATGGCAAAAGGTGAGTTGAAGAAACTTCTTGTTCAAGAAACTGGGTTAGAGCCTGAGGACCAAAGGCTTTTCTTCCGTGGGAGGGAGAAGGAAGATGGTGAGACTTTACATATGGCAGGTTTAAAGGACCACTCAAAGTTGTTGCTTATGGAGCGTCCAGCTAGCAAGGAGAAAAAAATGGAGGAGGCAAAAAAGAAAGAAGAAATATCTAAGGCATTTGCTGCAATTGCTGGAGTTCGGGCAGAGGTGGATAAGCTTTCTCAAAGGGTAATTTCATTTCTTTCTTGGAAAGGTTTTTTCTATACTAGTTTTCTGGCACGGAAATTCTTTTTGGCGAGTAGAAACTAGAAAGGTGATGTCTTTGTTAGTTTCCTTCTTATATGCAGGTCTCATCCTTGGAAGCATCTCTTTATAATGGAACAAAGGTAGATGAAAAGGAATATATCATCTTAACAGAGTTGTTTATGGTTCAATTACTGAAATTGGATAGCATTGAGGCCGAAGGAGAAGCAAAAACCCAGCGGAAGAATGAGGTGAGTTGGTTTTGTTTGTGCTCAAGAAGGATCCCTTTTTTTATTTGTAAATTTTTTTTAGTGCTTGTATTCCCAAGAAAACACTGGATGCTTGTCTTTTGAAGCTAAAGAGCAACAAATTTGTAGAATTAAGTTTTATTCAACTTTTCACTTGAAGTGGAGATCTTAGCTTGCCTAAGGAGATTACAGTTGTTTTACACTTTTACTTCATTTGAGAGAATGGAAAATGGTTATTTTCAAAAAGAGCTCTAAGACCCAAATATCAATGATTTAGTAGAAAAATACATATCAATAATTTCTTGTTACGAATTTATGCCGCTAGCTTCTTGCTGCTATGTGTTCAACTTTGTTATATAAGGTCCAATACTAGAATAAACTGAGTGAATTGCATCACAAGTACTGTGTTAAACTATTCATAGCATATAGCTCATAACAGTAACCTATTACTCTGAGAAGGCTCTTCTACTATCATATTGGCTTCTCTCCATTACCCCATCACAAGTTAAGATGTCAAGGGAGCAGCCGGGAATGTGAATCTGTGAGTTACAATATTACATGCAATTTCTCTTGTAGATTAAGTCAGGTTGCATGGTGCTGTAGCAATTCCTCTTAGTTTCGATTTTTACTTGGGGTTTCGGTTGTTAAGTGTTGCTTACCGTTGTACTTATCTTTGCCATGAATCAACAACTATGATAGAAGCTATCCTCCCATTCATAATTCCACACCATAATACTAATACTCGCCTTTTTCCAAACTCTTTAAAATGATGGTTTTGTTATATCTGTATCTTTATATTGTATGATTCCCTATGACGATTCATGTTAGCCGACCCCAAATCATTAAGAAGATTTTGAAACAACGATGTAGGAAGCAACACAAATGAGTCTCATGAATCATTAAGAAGATTTTGCATAGTTAAGAAGTGTCGTAGGCATCAAATTTTGGCTAAAATTTAACACATTAATTTTTTGGTTGAATTAGGAACTGGAGTAACAAAAGTATAACATCCAGACATAATTTAATCCGTTTCTCACAAACCAATAACCTAATCATTCTGATTTAGTCTTCATTCTTGGCTCTTGAGTGCCTGGTTTACTTGTCCTTGTTAATCAGATTACACAACCATACATTCCTAGAAGCAGTTATTAATTTTGTTGGTCTAATATATGATGGAGTATGGAACTGCGCTAGCGAATAATGACTTATGTGTGGCATACCATTTTCTTTTTCACTGATTATTTTCTCTTCAATTAGAGTTGTGCAGTTTGTTTACCTAGTTTATTTCTTCATGTGAGTCCCTGACAATAGGTTCTGCATGATTGAACAGGTTCGTCGTGTGCAAGGCTTTGTGGATACTCTGGATGCCATGAAGGCAAGAAACTCGCATCCACATGATAATTGCAGCAATACTGTAGCAGTGACCACCAACTGGGAGACATTTGATTCTGGAGTTGGGAGCTTGACTCCACCTTCGGTTTCATCATCTTCAAAAGTAACAGAAGACTGGGAACGGTTTGAATAGCTTAATATCGTCATATTTTTTTGGTGCAACTTATAATTTCATTATTGCTTGTACAATCCATTAGGGGACTTGTGTGATTATGATTTTTTTGCCTGTGATGGCTCCTCATCAATTCAAAGCTGTATTTAACTCTTTGAAGTTTGGAGTATGAAAGTTGCATATGAAGTTGTTGCCTAAATTTTTTGAAGACATTCATCTATGTATATGATCACTTACCAAGGTCTAATACCCATGTTCACTACTTTGCCTATTACTCCCATCTTTCCTCGTTTTTCCTTCTTTAGACAAGAATCCTTCTGGTGGTGCTGTTTATTCACATATTTCAGTTATTTATATGAATTCATGATTTCAAGTTAGTTATTCTAGTTATGACAGTTGAGTTTCTGATTTCACTGAATCTGTTGTGGTCAGTTGAAACCTCTTTGTCTTTGCCCTTGTCTGCGTGTTCGTGTGGGGATGCATGCCATAAACGATGCAGACATCTCTGTTTGTGATCTTGTACCTGTGGATCATTGAAGGCTTGATGCACTTGGAGGAATAATTTAGCTGTAGTCAGGGGTTAGATTGTGCCCTGATGACTAACATTTTGACTAAAAAAACAGGAATAAGAGAAACAGCATCATCTAGTGAAAGTTGCACTTGCACTTGACAACTGTAGCGAACACGGTAAACACAAGACATTACTAGATGTCATTGACATAAGTGTATTATCTATTATGCAGAGCAAGCCAAGAGATAAAGATACGGTTCAGGCTAATCAATATTAAAGTACTTCTTTGCTTAAGCTTTTAATTTTGTTGCTAAAATATGATATCATTATGCACATTATTTGACTATTTTTTGAGGTTTCCTTTTCTATCACATAAAATAAAATTCCCTCAATGGGCGCAAGAAGGACCAAGTTGGTTTCCATGCCTAAATAAAATAAGATCTATATGCACTTGATGTGTGCATATCATTCTAGATATATACACCAAGGGCCTGTTCTCTTACGTTGAAATTCAATTCAGCTCAGCTTAGTTCATTTCAGCTCCTAATTTCCTTCTCTTATAAAATATTCATTTCAGTTCTATTCAGCTCAGCTTAGCTCAGCTCAGTTCAGTTCAATTCATTTCAGTCAATGAGAACAAGCTCCAAGTCCTGTATTTTAAAAGTTGGAAACCATGCTCACCACGATATCATTATGTAATTACATCAGCATGCGTGACTTTTGTCACTCTTTGAGAATGGGATGAATTTTTTTGTGAGAGTTGATTGGAGCATGATTTTGCTAAAAAAAAAAACAAAAAAAGATTTGAGTGTTGTTTGATGTGAAAGACCAATAAGAGATTTGAGTGCGGTTTACTCTAAAAAAAACCAATAAGAGATTTGAGTGTGGTTTACTCTGAAAGACCAAAAAGAGATTTGAGTGTAGTTTGCTCTGAAAGACCAAAAAGAGATTTGAGTGTGGTTTACTCTGAAAAACCAATATTTGATTGGAGCTCAGTTTTGCTTGAAAAAACCAAAATTGTTATTTTTGCAGGTTCAAAAAGAATGACGTTCCTGCTTGATGATTGATGAGTTCGAAAAAGATGAACGTTCTCATCATTGAAGAAAAAAAATAAATAAATTTGAAGGCGACATCGACAGAGTACTGCAACTCGATCGACTTCAATAAAGTAAAGAATTTCCAATCGCAACGTTCGTGTTACAACCGTTACGATTGCGGGAGGGTATTAGAGATATTAGATATCGGAAAATATATTTGATAAATTTTCCGCAGATATCAATAATAGAATAATATATTTAGGTTTATTTTATATTAAGATAGTATTTAGTATATCTTTTAGCAATAATATTTCCTATCTTATAAGCTTAGGTTTTGTATAAATATTATACCTATTCATCAAGTCATTCTATTCACTTTTTCCCCCTAATTTGTCAAAATGCAAGTACACTCTGGTGCTTTACTTCCTTTTATATATTGAGCAGCTTGACTTTTTTAAATGACGGAGTACTCCAGTTTCTTGGTAACGCCAAAAGTGAACCTAACCTCCCAATGAACTAAACTTGAATTTAAATTGTCTAACAACCTGTTTACAAACCCCCATACGAAGCTGATATTTCTAATGCCTAGTTGTACATGCACGACTACTTTATACTCCATATGTTTTTAAATACTTACTTCATTTCTCCATGCGCAGAGTTTTAGGAGAAATTGGAGAAAGTAATAAAATATGGAGATAGTAGGGTTGGTGAAAGATAAAAAAAATTGTAAAAAACAAAAGTAGTGGAAAAATTGGAGGTGAGAGAAAATGAAATGAATAAAATATGATATTTGTTGGATCCACTAGGTGGTAGAAATGAATTAAATATTGTAAAAACTTTCCATATAAGGAAATGGAGCAAGTATTTAAAAACGGAGGGAGTAATAGTATTTTTTTTTATGCAAAGCCGGGGGCATTAGATTAGATTAAAAGAGTATCAAAAGCTACAAGAGAGTTGGGGAGATTTATCCTCCAAAATTACATCCCGAATAAAGTTTGGTGGATCATTTAAAAGTACAAGAGTTACATCTTGATTCTGAGAAGTCCTACAATATTTTGCTAAAAGATCAGCTGCCTTGTTTGCATTCCTACCTTCATAATAGAGCTTGACATTCTGCATACCCTCAAGCTGGACCCTGCAACATTTTAAAATATTAGTATTGACATCCTTGACAGTCGGCATATGAGATGAGGTCAATAGCTTGCTTCGAATCTGAGCACACATCCACTCTCTCCCAGCCTCTTTCTCTAATCAGCTCCAGGCCAGCAAAAATGGCAGCTTACTCACCCAGGCAAGCAGATTTAACTCTGCACTTCTGATAGAAGCCCAACACCTAATTACTTGCATAATCTCTAACAACACTAGCTATCCCAGCCCAAGAATCAGCAGCACTGAATGAGGCATCACAGTTCAGCTTAAGAGAAAGGGCAGTAGGAGGACACCAGCAGACAGGTGGGGGGTGACAGGGGAGATCAAACTCGAAGAAATCTTAAGAGAGGTTTCAAATTCCCAAGCTAAAGCTAGGGACTCTCTGAGGGATGTATCAGGGGGTTGCTTTGTTTGGTTAAAAATTAGGTCATTTCTCCTTAGACATAACTTCCAGATAACAAAAGAAAAAAGGTTCTGCCAAGGAAGTTGGATGTGAGATGTAGCAGTTGGATTAAGGGATAGATTAGTGAAGAGCCAAGATTTAAGGTCTTGACAGTAGAAATAACTAGGCATATGGAGCAGATCCCAATCCTCTTTAGCTTAGTCATAGTCCTTGAGAATGTGAAGAGCATTTTCAGGAACATTGTGACAGGAAGCACAAAACTCTAAGTTGATGATATTCCTCCTTCACAAAGTGACTTTGTGAGGGAGTCTATCCAAGTAACAAAGTAAAAAGCTTAATTTTAGGGGCTGTCTTAACATTCCAAATCTAATTCAAATTTACAGAATGATAAGAGCTCATACCATTAGCACACCCCATCAAGAACACAGTTTTTGAAAAATCAAATTTACCATTTGAACTAAGGGTAGAGAAGATGAAGTCTTGACAGTTACTGCTAGCTTTAGGAATAGGAACACTCAAGCAAGCATTAATAATATGCTCAGGCAGCTCAAAAGAAAGCTTTGAAAAATCCCATTTGCAATTTGACGCACAATCCTCAAGCATGATGTTCTCCTCCTCCCTCTGTAAAGGGCCATGGATTAAACTTCTAATGGGTCCTAAACCTGACCAATTATCACCTTAAGTGCAAATATCAACACCATTCCCTACCCCCACTGAATATTTTCCTTAAAAAGGTCCCAGACCCTTCCTAAGCTCTTCCAAAGATGGGAACCAGCAGAAAACGACCTAAACAAGTTATTTGGCTTAGAATACTTGTCCTTTAAAACTTGAACATCCAGATTGTGCTCATGGTTAAGCATTCTCCACCACAATTTTAACATGTGAGCTTTGTTCAGAGATTTAAAACACCTTAACCCAAGCCCACCCTCACTCTTAGGGGTGACCAGTTTCTCCCATCCCACAAGGTGTAAACCTCTAGTGTCATCCCTCTTACCCCAAAGAAACTTTGCTAAATGGCTATTCAAATTATCTAGAGTAGACATAGGAAGCATCATGCATTAGAAATAGTAGTTAGGGAGGGTGTTAAGGGTAGAGGTCACAAGGCATAATCTACCAGCTTTAGATAGCATAGAAGATTTCCAAAGCTCTAATTTCTTAGTGATTTTATCAGAAATGAATCCCACCTTATTTTTGGAAGGCCTACTAGCAGAGATAGGAAAACCTAGATAGGGAATGAGATCATCAGTTTCACTAAAACCCAAAGCCTCACAAAACAAGTTCCTATCACCTTCAGAGGTGTTCCTAGAGAAAAACACCTTACTCTTGGAAGCACTTATGGATTGACCCGAGAAAGAGCAAAAAGTATTAAGGGATTCCTTGAGGGAAAGGACATTCTCAATGGAGGTTTCACCAAAGAGCAAGATATCATCGGCAAAAAGGAGATAAGAAATTGACACTTGTTTCCTACTGTAGGGAATAATTTCAAGCCTTTAAAATCCCACTAGCTTGAACCCCACTATGATCATACACTAAAGTACGGTGGCGTCCAAAAGGGAAGAAGATAGAGCAAAAGAGTCGCCAACAAGTTTTTTAAGGAACTTGTAAACCATCACGAGGTGAAGGTTACACCCCTTAACGATCCAAGAGATCGTCAACTCCATAAGGTCATGAACCAAATAAGGGTCCGGGGATGATGGTACAAATCCAACCTAAAAGAGATTGAACCTGCCCTAATAATAGGCCTCTACTTTATTCTGCTCGTATTCATGTGCGCTTTCTGACTAACATACAATCAATAGGTTAACCCTAAACCTGTTTAATCTATGTTGGTTGAATTTAATGCACAAATAAACTATTATTGGCGATCACTTGAATTATAATCACAATTAACCCTAACAAGATTATTAATTATCTTATTAAGCGTGATTACAAGTACCAATTTCCCTTTAACCATGCAATAAAAGGTGATCAAGCAATACGTAATAAATATCAAGCAACATAATAAATAATAATAATCAATCATAATCATCATAAATATAAGGGAGAATATAGTAAGCATCATACTTTTAATCATATTTGATATTAAAGTTACCCTAGACATGATACTAGGAATCAAAATAACAATCTGAGCATGATATCTACATCATAAATAAATTAATCAA